AAAAAAAAAACGAGAAATCGGTTTTTAAATACTTTTTTTTCTTGAACTTAAACTTGATACGAGGCGACCAATCGTCAACCGACCACCAGACAATCAACACAAACAACAACAACAACCAACTAACATACCTTATTTTGACCTACATGTTTTTGTATTTGAATCGTCAACCAGGTGATTTTACATAAAGAAATGACGGAGGACGAATTTTTTTTTCTATTTTAATTGTCATTCGATTTGTAATCCGATATATCGATTTATCGAATTAAATTTTTTTTAATTCTTTCTCATCACCTTCACCGTTCGATTCGATTTCGATTAATTGTCGATAAAAATATTTTTTTTTTTTTTTTATTTTCATCACGTTCTACTTTTAAATTCAATGGCGAAAAAAAAACATTTTACGTTTAATATTACGTTGATGATTGTAGTAACCAAACCTTATCCTCCCTACTTTTCTTTACTCCTCCCTCTCCCCTCTCGAGCCCGCCCTCCCTTTTCCTCACAGACTCCCACAGACTCTCATCTCATTAAATTTTCTCTTTTAATTGTGAGTGAAAACAAAAGAATAAAAAAAAAAATTTTTGTTTGTTTTTTTTTCAATTTTCAGGAGTGTTAACGTGAGCGAGTTTGTTGTTTGTTGTTGTTTGTTGTTATCAGTTGTTATCACCATCGATCGGGATCGATTATTAACATAAACACGTGGTTTACTTTTTTTTTGTTTTTATCCAGGAAAAAAGAAAATTTCGAAAGTAAATATTATAGAAAATAATTATGATAATAACAATTAGTTAATTCAAACAGTGATTTAGTGAACACAATAATAATAATAATAATAATAATAATAAGTGCAAAGAACTAAAAAGACAAATTTAACATGAAATTCTTGTAAAAAAAAAAATAAATAAATAAATAAAAAAGTGACTGTGAAATTTTTTTTTTGTATAAAATGAAATTCCTAACGTTTATTCAGGTAATTATTATTATTATCATTATTATTATTTTGCTTTTTTACTTCTGCTCTTAATGGTTTAACCTTTTTTTTTCTTTTCCATTTCCGGCTTTTAACCGATTCTTATAAAATCGATGTTAAAAAAAATTTTTTCTTTTTTCTTTTCAAAGTTTTCTCTTGTTTGTTGGCTGTTTTTCTTTTTTTTTTTTAATGGTTTTTGTAACTCTTTTAAAATGACCGAAATAGTTTGAGGTGTTTCTCTTATCACTCAATCACTATAATAATAATAATAATAATAATCATTATCATTATTAAATTCCGATTGATTCTTTTATCAAACAAAAACTTTTTGAATCATTTAAAAGTTTTCATTCGTGACAAAAACAAACACAATGACAGAAAAAAAAAAAATTATAGCAATTTTAAAAACTATAAAATATAGTTTTATATGTAAGTCACGGATTGTCGGTTGTATCAAAAGTTATTCGCGGTTATCGAGCGCAAAAAAATTTATCACAAAAGTTTTTTTTTTTTTTTTGTGGTTACTCATGCATAACGGACGAACAAATAAAAAATAATTTTTTTTTTTTTTTTTTTTTTATAGAGTTTAAAATATTTGTGGAACGGGGGGTTTTTATCTAACCGAATGATAACGTTTCATCTTTTCCTGATAAGGTATCATTATCACAATGCGAAAAATTTCTAAAAAAAAAAAAAAAAAATTTGACAGATGTTGGATTAAGGATTCGCGTAAAAAAGAAAAATTTCGTCGTCATCGCAACTTTTTTTGTTTGTTTGTTTCTCCCGCTATAAAATTTTTAACACACATTTTAAAAATATTATCATCATTATCATCATCATTATCATCATCACCACCATTTTTTTTTTTTTTTTTTAATAACGGGTAAGAATAATTCGCCATCAAATTTTTACAGCAAACACCTGTTATCGTAAATAATTATAACACTCTTTATTACCATTAATATTTTTTTATTATCCATCTATTCATCGATCAATCATTCATTCATTCATTCATTCAATCATTCATTCTCTCGTTAATTAATTTTTACCACTTGCGTTTTTTTTTCTTTATCACTCTCATTAAGTTCAATTTTTTTTCTTTTTCACCTTTTTTAATTTGTTCTAAATTTCTTTTTTTCCCTTTTCCCCTCCCTTTCTCCTCCACTTCGAAAAGCAAAAACACTTAAACTTGACCTTTAAAAAAAAAAAAAATTTTTTAATTTTAATAATAATAATAATTACAGTCATCGTAACTAATAGATACGCCATATTTAAAATAAAAAAAATATTAAATCAAAATATAATAAAAAAATCGTTTTAAAAAAAAAACAAAAAATTACTTATCACCACGAGTTAATTCCCCCTCCCCCTCCACCCTCCCCACGTGATGATGTTAGTGATGATGATGATGATGATAATAATTAAAATTTACTTTTTGAGCCTTAAATGGTGAAAATAAATTAACTAAATAAAAAAAGAAAAACGATTGATGGTATCATGTCGTTAAATTTAAAGAGAAAGCCTTTTTTTATGAAAGAAAATTATTATAGCGAGTATATAAAAGAACATTAAACTATAAAATTAACGTTATAGTCCGTGTATAATGCTATAATAATAATAACTATCCTTCGAAATGAATGAATAATAATAATAATAATAATTTTTTCTACGTGTTTAACGAAAATTTAACTTTTAACTATAGCAAAAATTTAAAAAAAAAAAAAGTTATAACGTATAATTATGGACTATAATGATAATAATAATCGATGAATAAAAATTAAAATTTTTTTTTAAATGTTTACCATTTATTTTTGCTCTCGTTAAAATTTTGCTGGAGTTCATATTAATTATTCGTGTACATTTACTATTTTTTTTTTCATCACAAAAATAAATAAATATAAACCAGGTCACAGAATTTCTTTTCCCTTCCCTCTCCTCCCTCCCGACATAATATTATTAATCGTCGTTATCATAATTATCATTATCATCACGCAAATTAAATCAATAAATAATTACTTAATGATTACCTTAATATATCTTTATTATTAAAAAGAAAATTTAAAAATTTAATTATTTAAACGTTAAACGCACCACATTATAATCGTTATTGAAAAAAAAAACAAAAATGGCGACCGTCGTTTTCTAACCAGATTAGGTTAGAATCAGATTTCTAACCTAATCTGGTTAGAAAACGTTACACACAAAAATTTCCTTTTAAAGACTAAATTAAT